CGCGCCAGGCGCGGCCGTTGGGGGCGGGGCGCGGCCGTTCAAACCGGCCAATGGCGGCGCGACACGCCCTCCTCCTGGGGCAAGGGGCGGGGCCGCGGCGGCCCCAGGACCACAACGCGCCCGTGCCGAGGCGTTTCACACCCTAGAAACCCGTTTTGTGAACAGAACACAGCAGCGCTCATGGGAGTGTGCCCCTAACTGCATACCGCAGCCCTGACTGCCATCCAATACCCTCAGTGGGAATGGGATAACAATCAACCCCCCTTCCCCACTACAGTCTCAAAGGAATCAGGTCATCTCCACAGGAAGCAGGGCGCAGGATTTAGCTGCCAGACGGGATGTAACATCCTTCGCTCAGGCTGTGAGGAGCAAATGCCTGGAGCATCTGCCGCCGTTGCTCCCCGCCAGGCGCGCGCAGCATCTTGGCTTCTTGTTTTTGGGCTCGTCCCGCCAGAACGGCACAAACTGCCGCTAAAAAAGGGAAGCTGTTGCTTCAGCTGAGCAGCTCCCAGCCCTTCSTTTCGCTGGAGATCCTGCTTGTGCCACATGTTGTTTCTTCTAGCGCTGAGAGTAATGATGCAAACACCTAAGGCTGGCAGCTGTCAATCCGGCCTGCTCTTCGCTCGCCAACTTTCTTTCCAGATTTCAGTATTTAGAACTAGACTAGGTTTCCAAAAGTAGGAAAGCTTTCCTAGCTTTCCTGCTGCTCAGGAAGGAGGTTTCTGAGCCTGAGCTCTGTTTTAGGTGTGTTGGGAAGGATGTGTTGGGAAGCAGCACCTCACTAAACCTGCAGTGACAGACACACACGAGCAACAGCCCTCCCACGTGCCGACCAAGAACCRAGAATGAGGCTAAAGCAAAAGTGCTGGAAAGAAACAACCTTCTTAGCTTCTACCCACCACTAAAGTCCTTTGCTGCCTCTGAAATCTAATGATTGAAAGCCTAAAGTGAGCTCTGAGGAAGGTGCTTGGAAAGCCAGTCCATGCTCCCTCAGCTTCCATCCCCACTCTTTGGGCACCTAGTACATTGAACCAGTTTCAATGTGCCTGGCACATTTTCAATACATTGCTCTTCCATCTTGAGGAGACTTATCCCATTTTTGCTCTTCAATGTGTTCTGTAAAGGTGAATGCCTTCAATGCTCTGGCTGTAAACAGGCTAATCCCTACTTTAACATACACACATACGGCACATACAATACTATTGTGTTTTTAAATAAACATTCCTTCTGATTTAAAATGTCACCATCAACAGGGAGCCTGAGACTGTTACATGCCATAATAGCCAAGTATTTTTCACTGTATATAAATTGTGATGCAACCTCTGCTTTTAACATKTCACAGACACCATATATAATCATTCATGACAATTTGGTCTGTTTAAGCTTCTATTTCTCCCAAGATTTTCCGTGCTTGCTGCAGCACAAGGAACGTGTAATTCTCTGAATTGTATTACACTTTTCTTTGTCTGCAGCTTCTAGAGGATGACAACTCACTTCTAAAGCCAATGTGACATATTTTAAATGAAGTAGAGCAGAACAGAAGAAAACAGTGCAGTCGCTTTATGCCTGCCAGTAGTTTCTTGTCTAGCTCAGGCAGGTAACGAGACACCACCATTTCATAAGAGACTCCCCGTATCAGCCCTGTCTAGTGTTTTAGATTCTTATGCTTCCCCTTCCCTTGCAGAAAACTCCAATTCACTCATTTTATTTTTTTTTCCTGAAACAGAAAGTTGTAATGCAGAAGACTTAAGCTTTTCAAAAGAAGAGAGATGATGAAGTAACCTTAAGAAGGGCGAGAAACAGCAATGTGCAGAAGGTCAAGTACAAGCAAGAGTCATGATATGGCTTCAAACCGGCCCAAAGCAGTTTGCAAAAATGGACCAYTTTATGGAGCAGGAAGTTAACATTTCCCTATTTATAGGTATGGTAGCAAATGCAAAATGAAAAATGAAGTAGCAATTGAAAAATGTTTTCAATTTTGGATCTTTGTTCCTAAGTGCGCTTTTATGATGTATTTGTCCCAGTTGATCTGAGCACATGCTATTAACTCCATACAAAAAACAGCTATTAACCCAGGCCTATTAAAAATACCATGGTTTCACAAATGAAGATACAGTTTTGAACATTAAACGGATATCAATACTTTTAAGGATATCGAGGTCTTTGGTACTTTTTTTTTTTTTTTTTAAGTTTCATCATTAAAAGAAATGCATAAATCATATAGATGCCATACTCTTTGTATACACAAACCAGTGCAAATATTTATGCATTATTCGGAAAGTTGAGTGACAAAGAAAATTAAATGTAAGGTTCAACTTCACTTAAAATTCTCTATTTTAAACRCAGAACACAGTATCTTACAATAAAAAACAATCTTTAATTAAAATCTTTGTAGTGCAAATGTGGTTAATAGAAAAGTGCTTGCAAAATAAGTAACTTGTTAAAGCGATACACAGAGATTTAGATAAYGTACAATACCTATCAATCTATATACTGCTTTTATCACACTCTTGAATCTCAGAAAATAATTTAAGATTTTTGATATTAGTTTGTCAAATTGACAAATCCTTAGAATAAGTTCCACAGAAATGGTGTTTCCATAAGAAAATACAAAAACYTGAAGTTACTTTCAACTTTTGCTCAAAACCAGCTTAGTTCTTGTACCGATTAAACAGCAAAGATGCATACAGGCAGCTAGATTGAAAAAAAAAAGGAATATAAACAGTATTTGCCTCTTTTAACAAAATGACTTGATTTTTAGAATTCACAGATAAGGCAAATGAAATTAGTTCAAAATATTTTCCTTTTTCACTCTAGAGTTTTTACATCACTGACTTTCTAACTTTATAACACTACAGGTCTTGCTGCGTCTTCTGCCTCTTATGATAATGATAAAGCTAATATTTTAAAACAGACGTAATAGGCAGTTTATATTAATTTCATTTATTAATTTAGTATCTATGAAGTAATTTTTAAAATTTTACAAAGTAGAACATAAAAACAGTTAACTGACTGTAACACTGCCATGAAATTGTGTTAGCACTTTTTTAAATGAGAGGAATTATTTTTATGTTTCCACATTATCTGAACTTCTTCATGTTAACTGTGCAGACTGAGAAAATCCTTGAGCCATCTTGTATGATTTACAAATTGTTTCTCCATTTGAAGGTGGCATCATGTACTGCTAAGAAAAAAACACAATCACAAATTAATACTTAAATGCTATATATAAGCATAATACAATCTCAAATATGTGCATGTGCATACCAGTACACACCTAACACTTTTTTAAAAGATCACTACCTGTTCTTGTATCTTCCTTCAAGATAGTGTTCAGTGTTAACGGAAGCCTATTTTCAAAACCGCCTTGTAACATTTTAGAGAAATGAAACATTATTAATAGAAAAAAAAAAAAAAGAGTTTGAATGTTTGAATTACCCTACAGTGATTTGAAGGACAAACCATTTCTAGATTTTGAGAAATCTGTGGCAACAGAGCATTTGCTACATTTTTGAGATTTAAGTACCTTAGAGAAAGAAACTGTTCTAGTAGATCAAGAACATGATCATTGGTATCAATCAAATTAAAAAAGAAAAMTAATCACTTCACTGCACCTGTGTTTTAAAAAAACGTAAAGACTAACTAGGATATATCCATCAATAAAGACAGTATCACTCTTAATTGAAGTCAGACAAGTTATATAAAAACATGAACTGTGGCCCCCAGAACTAAGAGGTGAATTAGTGACTCCAGCAGACAGCAATATGGCCCCGTCTTGCATGGAGGACATCTCCACAGTAGCAGAATTTGCCAGTTTAAATTATTACTGACACCATTTAAAAAAAAAAATATTTTGTGAAAATTAACTGAAGAGTTTTATGACTGCAACTCAAATGTCCCAAAATTAAAACAGAACCTGAAAGACAAATCAAAGCCATATGAAAAAATTAATGTATGTAATTGTATGCTARATACCTAGAACCAGTGTAATTAATTTACCTTAACAGATGTCCTTGATTTGAACTGAAAAACTGACAAAAGTCATGTCAYATGAAGTGCGTTTATAACAGATCCAGGTTCTAGTTTGTATATAAAAATTTAGCAGATGTTTCAATGCTAGACAGATCAGCACATAACAAAAAACAAATGTCCTTCACAGATTGCTCTCCTCTTTCTATGCAAGCACAAACGTTAAGAAAAAAATTAAAAATCATTTCTTGTGCATCTTGGAAAGTAAGAATAGCCACATACGGATCTTCAACTGGAGAAAAAGAGCTGTAAGAATGAAGCCAATTAAAACACTCCTAGTTACTAAAACTCTTCAGTAATGTCAAGCAGTTGCTGCTCYGCGAAGCACCCAGATCCCTCACGGAAGCTCTGTATCTGCTGTCTCCTTAAAAGTCAAAGGTGATCTCTGAGGAAAACCGGGCTATTTATGTCTAGCACGCCGGAATAATGTTTTGGTAAGAACTGGCTTAATAGACGACTGCTTGAAAGTCACAAGCTCTSCCAATCCCATAAATTCCAGGATATTTAACATCCATACACAGAGACTTTCTGTAGGGAAGGTTGCAATCCTCCTTTAAAGCAAAAGTTCATTTATCCCTTACTTCATCTACACACAAAATGTTGTTACTACAGCTACTTCAGGAGCTATTCTTGATGTGAAAGGGAAAGAGCAAGTTTAGTCAACAGCACCTGACTGCCCAAAGGAATCTCGTGTAGCCAAGCTGAAGAAATGTTTAGGACTAAGTTCAAACACATATGTTAATATTGAAATATTAGGATCATGCTTAAAGCTGGTGCATGAAGCCAAGGGATCACATAAGTAAGTTGCCATGGCATTCGGCACAAAGCAGCTGTGAAGACCTCATTTTATGAACCTCAGCGACAAATGTGTTGCTGTGATTCTAGTTATTAAAATAAAAATCAAGTCTTCATTATTACAAGTCTTACATGTTCAGACAATACCCAACCGAAATAGCTGATTTATGATTAAAACAGAGGATCCAAGTTGGAAAAAACACAGTAATGTCATTAAGCTGGCAAATGCTGGAAAAACACTTTCACACATTCGTCTGATTATCCACTAGTGCATAGAAAGGCCAGGGTATACTTATTCAATCTACAGAAAGAAACCCTCAGCCTCTGGCTGAGGAATGTTTCCAATTGCTCATGCTATTACAGAAATAGAATTAAATACAAAACCAGCCAACTAAATATAGTCACACTACTTAAATACTGTGACTTGTACTGAAATTATAAAAGGAACACTCTATGAGATCCCCATCCCTAGACACAAACACACGACAGGACATATTTAGAGAAGACAGAAGCATGAAATGAGATGCCACAAGCACTATGTACATGTATACTTAAGGTATGCATTTCAGAAAATACTAAAAAAAAAATGCTGTCATTAGGAATACATTCAAGAATATGTTTTAAATAAAAGTTTMGAGGCAAAGGTAGGCATTGCAGTAATTTGTGCTCTCAGAAATGGTTTAGAAAATATTTTCTAGGAGCTTAGATATACTCTATAATGATATGTTTTTTATATTTAATTCTACTTTTATTTGTCTGAATGATACCTACACAAGAACCATGTCACAAATTAATTACTGTTTTCTTCCAGGAAATAATGCACTCAAATATTATAAGAAACAATACAGGGAAAAATCTAGACAAGCCTCCTTCCACCCCTCTCTCCCCAACTTACACACTTTTCCTTCTTTTTCCAACTTCTTCAGATGGACAACGAGATTCTTTTCCGCTGCTTTAAGTAAATTCTCAGGAATGTCCTAGTGGAAGCACAAATATATGTTTTAGATTTGTTTAAATGTCTCGGAATTATTTTGATACAGAATGGCTTATTTAGAAGAGAATCTGTATTCAATACATGGTTACACAGCAAGAGAAAAAAAACCTCACAAGAGTAAATCAGAGTTTACATGTGGTTAAACTAGTAGCCTAATAGCACCTTTGTATTTACTGTGCTTATTTCTTTGCCTTATGCAAGCTTTGGCCAACATCAGGACTGCTCTTCTGGGCTTGGTTTGTATTGAGTTGTCCACGGGGCTAAGCATTTTTTTCCACACATCTAAAKGAGCAATTCAAAACTGCATTTCTCCATGCATACCTCTTACTTCTATTCCATGGGAGTATTTTGCAGAGGGCAAAATAGCTTTAACAATTAATAACTATAAATTATTTAACAGTATCTATAAATAATTTAACAAAATCTGTAAATAATTTAACAATTAAAAAAGCTTCAAATGAAATTTATAGTGAAATGTTCCCACACAGTCAATAGTATTTCTCAAAATTCCCTTCTGGGAATTAGGAACCAAAATCTTCCTAAAAGCAATGCCTTCTTCTATGAATGAATAAATAAATAAATAATTCCAAATAATGCATAGGTCTATCAGAAAAAGTTACCTAAAAATGGTTGTATTGTGAATCTTAAAAAGAATACCATCCCAAATTTTAGCATCCAATTTTTACAAAGAAATCAGTACAGAGAAAAATCTTATCAAGTACTGACAGGAGAAGCTGTTGCACTTTTGTAGCAAAGGCACACATGAAAATTGGATTTCTACCATGTGTACAAATTAGAGAGGTTGGGTGAAGATGGATGAAATGGCCAAAAAGTGTTCTTACACACATGGACTACCCAGCTTCCGAATGCAACACCCRGCTGGTGTCAAATGGCAAGGCCTGCACCCTTTTGCAGGCTGATAAATCTGGAGCTAAATGTTCCCGCCAGTCCTTCTAAGAGACATCAAACGCCCTCTGACACACTATGTATCTCGTTAAAGTACAGAATGAAAGAAAAGCAACAATAAACAGTCATCTCATGTTTTCCATTCTGCCCGAAACACTGCAACCTAATTTTTCTTTGGTCCTTGAAAACCAGGCTTTGCACCATTTTGTTAGTGAGGCAGGAAGTTATTAAAATCTTCTGGGCTCCAACGCAATAAAATGCTTAAGTAATACTATTTAAATGCAGAATCACATCTTGAACACACAGAAATGTGTTTCTTTTCTTTAAGCCATCATGTCAACATTGAAGCCTTCACTCAAACACCTAGGCTGTAGTTTTGTGACCTTAACCTCGTATTTTTCAGTCGTATCCAACAACTTATCAGGAATCACCTGGTACACTAGCTTTACAAGCTCAGAAGATGTGTATGATTTTCCAGCATTCTTCTGCAGAACACTTAGAATTTGCTGCTCGCGGGCATTTCGGTGAGTGATGTATCCCTGGATCCTAGTGTTTGCATCACGTACCACTGGTCCATGACCTAAATTGAAACACATACACAGACTGAATTGAGTTATTTTAAAGTAGAATTGAGCATGCTGTGAGATAGTTGACTCATTCTGATGTTAGCTCTGGTTGACGTACAAGTCTTATGGAAGGAGCAGGATCTGTGTGCATACCATCCTGACAGAGTATGCTTGATATTACATCATATATTTTCTCTCTGTGTGTTTAATATAAATAATCAAAATAATTTGGAATGTCTCCATCACAGTCAACAATTGGTAAGGATGAGGATGGAAAGAAAAAGAAAATATAAAAGTCCGAATAAGGAAAGTAATGCTTCTGAGGGAGTAAAGCAAGGAAGCAAACACTAGTCTGTTTTTAAATAACAAAGCATAAGAAGAGTTCACTACTTAAAAGAGTTTGAAAGATAAATTCTAGATTATTTTTATTTTTCTCACCCTGGGATATTGATGATTTAAATTGATACTGGACCGTGCACAGTCACAGCTGAGGCCAACACTTCTGTTCCAAGCTACTGCCCCTGTTGTAGGGCRAAATAACTATCACAGAGAGAGACCAAAGAAGGAACATGTTTAACTGGGGGAGTTAAATCTTTCAGGACTGATCATCAACTCATTCAGGACTTGCTCCTACTGCTCCCCAAGAACATATTTTCATTTACATGCTTAAAAATATAAACGGAAGAAAAAACAGTGAACCAATTTTGATACCTGGGAACAGGAATAAACCAGGTACAAGAAAGGTTTTACGTGAGTCATTTTATGTCTCCCTAAATTTAGTTTAATGAAAAAAACACATTCACTCCCTGCTTCCCCCCCGCCAGCAGATGTATCAAGCCATGTATCAGTCATGCTACTTACTGGAAGTCCTTGAATCTAATCAGAAAAAGGTTCRGTTGCTATTCCTCTAGATAAAGGATTAAGCTTTGTGGAAAGTTAAATGCTGCCCCACCTCCCCATGGTCACATTCTCTACTTGTTATTTTGGGTTGTGAACTGACTAAATGGGTTTTAAGACTTCATATATAGTATATAATATATATGTGTGTGTGTGTGTGTGTTGGTGTGTGTGTATATATATATATATAAAAGACCATATAAAAAAGATCTTATATATATATATATATATATATATCTGTACAGATATCTGTCTGTACAGATATCTAAAGATAAGACTTTCAGGCTTATCTTGCCTGAGGACAGCAGCTCATAGAAGAACAACTATTTCAAGCTTTTAATATATGTGAAACAAAAGTGTCAAAAAGTTCAGCAAATGTCAAAACCATTGATGCACATCTCAAGTTATATACTGACTTCAAGTGACCGAGGAAAAATAAGTCTATTTAGTGTTATCTTATGTAAATACAGTGTTAAAAATAAATGATGAGAAATATGTCTAAGCTATGGTACCACATGCACATATTTAATAATTTCAAATATGTATTAACTTCAAATATTTAATCTGAAGCTCTATTTCCTTGCATAATAATTTAGTGATGTAACTAATAAATACGTTACTATTTATAAAAACATAGCTCAAATTTCTAAAAATAAGATTAGAATATGCAGAGCAGAAACTATGATGGTAACCRTCCATTCTTTTACACTCGCAGATGACAGAAGTCACAAGAGAGCATTCAAATTAAAGTTTACAGAAATCAGCTCCTGCACTTGTGGGTTTTTTAATTTAGTAAGGYAGATTAAAAAGGCAAGGCCAGGATCTGGAATGAAACACCCAGTTTGCAAGGTTAAAGAAATTCCACATGYACCATACCACTGTGGCCAAGCTTTAAAATGATGACAGAAAGCGTGGAAGCACATCTAGATGTGGATCTGTACCATCCATCATTTTCCATAATTTTTCCTCAAGATATGAAATACAATGGTCTTTACATTTTTATTATTATTTTCATCTTTTCCATGATTTAGACTTTTGGTGAGACAGCTTCATATTATTTGTGGCCTCTGCATGGCCCAGATAATCACAGCCTTATTCTCATCACATCCTGTCATACCGATTCTTACTCTACARGTGGGCAATTAAAGCACCAAAAAGGATAAAACTCAATAATAATTGGCTCAAAATCTTGCACAGACAGTACAATGCTTTCTACTTATCAAGTAACACTGTATATTAGAGGATTGGGAGCCCTCTGCTGGCTAAAAAACCCTTTTTCCCTTCTCAACGGTTCTTACTCAAGCATTAGCTGCACATGGGCTAAAGTGCCTGTTCTGGCTGCAAAGTCCCTTCCTCATTAAATTAAAATAACAGAAACAGGAAAAAAAAAAAAAAAAAAAAAAACCAAAAACAGAAAAACAGACCAAGCAGGAAGGAGTCTTGGCTAAATTTAGCTATTTACACTTAGCAAGCAGTCAAGTTGTTGAAAAAAAATCACTGTGCTCCCCTAGTGTAAGGGCTAAAGCACAGGCAGGGAAGAGAGAAGCAGGACAAGAATTGTGGAAATTTGCATGGAAACCTCATACTAAGCTCAGTGAAGCCAGGTTGCACAGGATGCATAGGCAAAACAAAGTACCCTCTGTTCTTCTTTGTTACCATTTTACTGTAACAGCTACCAACACTATAAATAATTGTTTTGACTGAGCAATAGTCATAACATTAATTAGTTCTGAACRAGCTCCATGCGTCGCTGCTCATCACTGAGATCACAGCCTGTGCTCTTGCCTCCCTACCTGCATGTGCAGCATGAATGTATTTACACCAGTGGAGTAAAGAGCTACAGATAGTGGCACAAACATTCAGCCTTAGTGAGCATGTAATCCAGATAAATAATAATTAAGGGAAACCTAAATACCACAAATAAAACCGATGAGTGTAGTAGAATTTAGCGTGAAGGTTTTCAGAAAGGCAGAAAATAAATAGTTTTTGTTTTCTAGGTATTTAAGAAAGAAAAAGAACTTTTCATTGTGCACTAGATTGAGATTTAAGAGCCTAAAACATCCCTAATTTTACCATAGTTAGCAATCACGAATGAGTCACTATTTCTGTGTTTCCCACCCACGAAATACATATGACATTTTCCTTTAAGACCTATGCATAAAAAATGCTATTTCAGAGCACTTACTTCAGAGGAAGTATATTTTAAGAATGAAGACAAAAGGGATTTGGTCATATAGGCTAAACAGAGGACAGAAATAGGAAGGTAGATAGCCACACAAAATGGTTRGTGTGAAAAAAATGGAACAGAAGCTGAGGAAAAGTCCTGCAACATAGTTCTGCAAAAGAAAACAAGGAGCTTAAACCCTCAGTACACAGTGAATTCTCAAAAACCAATCTGCACAAACACACATGGCTTATATGAAAAGTGCATTCCTAAGCATCTTGGGTGAAGATAAGAGGGGGAAAAAAGAGAAAAGTCACTGAATGAATCAGCAAATTAGTAYTGGAATGGCACATCTGACCTCCTGGCTCCTGCTCAAATTCAAGCTAACTCATTAACTACAATAAACTGCAAACTCCTCTTGGGAGGCTGCAGAACTGTTACAGTGGTATCAGTGATGCAAAGGACACGAGCCTCTCTCCAAACTTTTCTATGTTATGCACATAGGCAGCATATATAGACACAAAGGACCAAAAGGGCATGGAGAGAGTAATATAAGGAAAACAAACTTGCTCTGTGCTTTCTGCAATAGCCTCTATCAGTGAGAGATTTAGAGGTTTTATGGTCCTGCAGCCTCTGTGCCATAATCTTAACAACTTTACATTGGACACATAAAGTAATAAACTTGAATTGTTATATTAGTAATAATGCTTGAGAACTCTTATTGCGATCAAATCCTTACAGTAGATAATTACAAATTATATAGTGTTTAATCACACAAATAAAATAAAATTACTAACCTGGATATATTAAATCAGGTTTCATTTGTAATAACCTTTGCAAAGTTTTCATGTACTCAAAAAGGTCTTCAATTACTGTTGTTCCTTCTCCTAAAATACAGTCCCCAGAAAATAAAGCATTTTCTTCTTCTAGATGTAAAGACATATGATCATCCGTGTGCCCAGGTGTATACAGAACTCTGTTTAAAGACMCAAAAAAAGAAAGCATACATTTTTCATGTAGAAGTTATATGCATMATTTTCAAAAGCTAGAAACAAATAATATGTCCTTACATTTATAATAGAGCAYACAAAAAATAGCAAAAGTACTGAAGGAGTTAATGTCAATTTTGTCTAACACCAGTTCATTTTCCAACACCACAGAGAACCACACAGATCACTGTCACACTTCCATTTTCACAGCACAGCATTAACAACATCTGTACCTTCTTCAAGAGACTATTAAGAAAGCTGGCTAGCCATGCAGATTGGGTTACTGAGGGCTTTACTCTGCAGCTTTAGAAAAGGAAAAATGACACATTATTTGCAGATTGGAAAATGTTAATGACATATGTTTGCACTTAACAGAATGGAATAAAGATGATATTGCTGATCCTTTTAGAAACTCGCTATGTACTTCTGTACCCAACCCACAGAAAATTCTTTCCTGAATTTTATTTTTGATTGAGAAATCYCACGATACAGTGGATGGAGCTGCCACATACAACACAGAATAATGATTTTTTAGCTGTTCTATATGCAAGTCATTACATATCTTAAAGGTGAGATTTAGGACCCTGAAGCTTGAGTGAATTCGAACGCATCAGAGTGCAGCAAAGGGGGAAGGACTCTGTACATACCAACGTATGTACAGAGTAACTCGAGCTACTAAGAAGCTGCACTGAGGTGTCCTTGCAGAAACGTTTTTGGAAGGCAGATGGCTCCAAACTGAGACTAGTTCCAATGGGAAGGACGCAAGTCAGAGCAGCATCACTGCTGCAGTTCACCAGAACCCTCTCGTTCACCGCAGAGGCGGCGAGCAGGAGGCTGCAGAGCTGCTGCCAAGCGTGGTGCACAGGCTGAGTGCACCCAGCTGCCGGCACGGCAGGGCTCGCGGCACCGCGCGCCAGGGCTCCTCGCTCGTACCGAGCGGCAGAAGGCCCCAGAGCCCTGGCCTGCAGGGACAAGGAAAGTCAGGCAGCTGCACCATGTCCTGCTTTTGCAGCAATGAGATACTCYAGCTCCTGATGAAAATCAGCCAAGAAGCTTAATGGACCACAATTACTGCCTGGTATACCTACTTGGAAACTTGAAGGTAGCTAACTAAAGGTGTAATGTGGATAATACTGTTTTAGAATCAGTGGGGAATCCTTAAAACACTGATTGAATCAAGCTATCCAAAGTTTGGCTGCATAACCACAAAATAACCACTCCCGTCTTGCCTGGCCTCTTATTTTGGCCAAAATAGGGCCACTTAAAGTWCTGATACATGTTCAATCTCCCCTGGATCTCTCCACATATTTTAAAAAATATATATTAAAAAACATATTTTTTTTTTATCAGTGATGTCTTGTATTATTCATAGGTTTTCTTCCAGTCAAACAGCTACAGCTGGGATATAACTTCACATCTAACAGAGGAAAACAGCAAGATTAGTCCTAAGCAATGAGGAAAGCAGACAGCTCCTGCCTTCTTGATGAAAGAATTGTGGAAAGAGGATGGTCAACATTTTTTTTTTTTTTTTTGGAGTAGCTTTTGGTTTCAGATTTCTTGACGCCAACAAGACAGGCAATAAGCCCTGGAAAATAAGTTCTCAAACTCACACTTTGCAAGAGCCTGACAGCCAAAAGGATTAAAACTGAACGACGTTATCTCCTTGGCATGTATTTYTATACTAAAGAGACAGGCATGCTAAATTGTCCATATGGAGAATTTGAAATTCCCCATTTAAAATAATTAATCATCTAAAGCAATGATAATGTGTAAAACCCTGCTTATTTTCCCTTTCAGGAATAGTATTTTTCAAGGTAAGTGTTCTAACTTCTTTGGAGAGAAATAAAAGGAACAATAAATCCCTCCTCCATCCCAACAGGTAGTCTATCTGGCTGGGTAAGTATTGGAAGGATTAGATSCATGGATTGCCAATCATTAATAATTAAGATGCATGGAAACTGCAGGTTTTTCCTCTCAGAATTCTGGTGTGACCAGAGTGACCTTTACCTGAGCGTGGCTCCCTCTGTCTGTAAGACATCTCCATCTTTCAGATATGAATACTTATGTTCACCTTCTCCTATTACTTCTTCACGATGAGGGACACGTGGCAGTTTACTGATGCGATATTCAGAGTCTGTTTAAAGAAAGCAAAGAGACAACACAGAGGCTCACATTTCAAATATGCCACCAACAAAGCTGTTTCCACAGCAAGAGTACTTTCTGTAGAGGTGAAATTAATCATTACATTACATCAAAGCAAATTTTAAGGAATTTTGTAAAACAATGTTATGTTTATAAAGCAGCTTTTTATCTGGAGTCACAAACRCCAAATAGGGAGAAACCTCTGAATCTAAGTTTCTTGTGTACCAGCATCAATATTGAAGACGGAAAAGCAAAAGTTAAATTTGTAAAGAAACTTCAATTACTGACTTAATTATATTTCACAGATGTTTCTTCTTGACAAAACCMCCAAAACAAGTTTCTAGAGTAGCATGGGGACTTCTGAGCTCAAGTCTGAGTTATGATTCATAAAAGCACCATTCAGCATTTGCCTAAAACCACACGGCTCCCTTTTGGACTGGAGCTTCCCTCAGCATCTGAAGTTCTCAGCTGTGCACATTCCTTCAGTATCTTGGCTGGAAAGAGCCAGGGATGCTACGGACCCTTGCAGGACTTCATAGTCATCCTTAAAGACTGGCAAGGTCAAAATCCTCACTGAAACCAATACTGTTTTCAGTAGTGTCCGGGCTTCCTTGGAGATGAGCACTGGCAGCATCACAAAAACGGATAAAGCTGCAGTGTGTGACAGTCTGACAAAGCAGCATTATCCATGACACTTATTCTCTTCTCAACTACTTAAGCAGAAACGTCAGTACCGATATAAAATACACCAATACTAGAATTTACMTGCAAACTCTCCTCATCCCCTATCCTCACGACTTGTGGTCTGTAATTTATCAACAATTATCAACAGTCTACCAAAAGGAACCTTAAAATAATGTTTCCTTTTCAGAAAGTAAGTTTAGTTCTTTACTGCTTTTAAKAAAATGACAGTAAATTTGCAACTACTGTCCTTTTAGACAAGCATCAAGCTATTCTTGTATCTCCTTCTTCACAATGGCAAAGTAGGTTTTTGCTCATTCAAACTAGAAAAATTCAATATGAAATTCCACATGGGTATTAAACTCTAGTACAACTATAATACTCTGATTATTCGCTGATCTCATTCTACACATTCTACACAATGGTATCATGAAATTACAAGTAGTGCACATGGAGATTCCAAAAGAATAATCCAGCTGTTACATATTAGCATCCAGTGAGAACTGTTTTTTTGTCAGAAGTCTAAGACATTTTCARCAACATCTGAAATCTGTGGCTTACCACTTGGGATGGATTTGCAGATGGCAGGTATTCCACCAGTATGATCAGGATGCCAGTGAGTCACTAAAATTTCTTGAATTGAGATGTTGAATTCCGACAGTGCCTGTTTTAAACAGCCAATATATTCAGGAATGGCTGGCTCCCCAGTGTCAATGAGGATCCTTCTACATATAGACCAAAAAGGAGGGAAAACAAAAACAGAATTTAAACTATTTACATGAAAATTAAAGCATGTTTAAACCCTCTCCCCAACCACTGAATTCAAACATGTAAAAGTAATGGGTGTTTGTTGCTATGATTTACTGTTATGTGAGATTTAATCATTAAACGAACCAAGTTACGAACCAAGTATTATATAGTTTTCACACATACTTAATATTCCGTCTATACAAATTACTCCAGTGTTAGATTAGTTCCATAATACACAGAGCACCATCTTGGCTCTAGTATTAGGGGAAATGTCATTTAAATACTGCTTTTCATCACAGCCTAGCTGAGGACAACAACCCACRGCAGCAACACCCTAGTCAATGTGTCAGTGTTTTGTTAGTTTGGACTAGTTTAATTGGACTCAAATCCAGGGACTTTGGACTGGATTAGCAGGCTATGGCAGATCCTTGAGCCACTCCACAAGGAATCACATGGGTTCCAAACAGGTAGACAGTCCTGGGCTATTTTCTTCTACTTAACAGCCATATAAATTAGTAAGAATACTCCTTAATAGGAAACTCGCTACACTTGAGGTTAAGATATATATTGCATCTCTTTCCTCTGTGATATTCTCTCCTATGACAGGAGAGTTAACAAASCAGCCAACGCACAAATCCACAACTTTGCCTTTTTGGCAAGCCGCAAACAGCATCATTTACTGCTCTTTTATAACTGACTAATAGGTATACTTCCAAAAACCAAGCAGACAAAGCAAACCTCACAAAAACTTAAAGTTTTTTTTTAATCATCTTTGATAACAGCAAACTTCCCTTGATGCTTTGACAGGGACAGCTAGTTTTGCACCACATGCACCTCTTCCCCAATTTAAAGCTTATCTATTATTAATATTAGGGCTATAATGGCGAGGATAGTTTTCTTTGAGCCCTGCACACTAGATTCTGCAGGTAGGGACGAATGCAACAGCATCCTCTGAGGGGGAGAAAAAGAAAAAAAAAAAGAAAAAAGGAAAGAAGAA